TTGATGACAAGTTTAATGTTGTTCTACGGAGAAATTATCTGTAAAAAATAATTTATGAAAATGAGGTGAGCCCTTTTATATATATATATATATATTTTCCGTAATAAAAATTATGTTTTATAAGATTTAAAAAATGTTGACTTTAAATTTCTATAGTTGTTGCTATTATTTTCTGATAATGTTGTGTATGGTCGTCCGTACTTACAAAAATTGGCACTTTTATAAACATACAAAAACAAAATTCAAAATTCTTTTAAAAATATTGGTGTTTGACGTTATGTATTAAACTTCTACATTTATGTTTTTCACTTATTAATAATAGCATCAAAATCATTAGAATTAATACAGAATTTTTAAAGATTTAAAACTTAATAAATTTTCTAATTAAAATTTTAAAAAATGAAAAGAATACTTTTAAATTATTCATCAAAAAATGTTTTTCTTAAATCAATAGTGTCCTTAATATATCATATTAGCAATTAAAATATTTTCTAATGAAATAATGTAATAGTTTTATTGCATTTTTTTATTTTACGATTCAGAGCCGATTTTAGGTAAATCGTGTTTTTCTCCTGAGCCGACCAAGCATAGAAATAAATACAATATGGGAACCAGTAATAAGGAGTGCCAGAGAAAAGCAATGATAACAACATAGTTGCAATATGAGCTCTGGTAAAGACATGCAATGATAACAGCAAAATTGCAATATGAACATTGGTAAAAATGGTTGCTGAAGACATTAGGTTTATAATAGCCACTCCTCAAGGACACATGGCACAGTGGATAAAGGCGTTGATTAGATTCAGTGACAGGACCCAAAGAGTGTGAGTTCAACACCCGGTTAAGGCAGTGGAGAACTTTCAGAGGGAAAATTAGCAGGAGATAACTGATAAGGGGTTCAGTCCGGAAATTCCAACCACCTGAAGAAGGCCGGGGCGTACAACAGCCGAAACGTTGTAATAAATATGGCGATAAAGATGAGGACAATAGTCCGAATAATGTAAATAATCTACATAATACCTCATCCCAGAAATATAGACAGACTGTGTTTCTGTTTGATAAAAAGAAATTGATGATTTAAATTCTCCAAGGAATTCTGGTTTTAACTAATATAAACTGACATTTTAATTTCTCGAAATTTCATAAAATCAATTGGGGTAATATATATATATATATATATATATATATATATATATATATATATATATATCGAGATTTTCTTAAAAAAAAAAAGAAGAAAATTCCAAAATAATTTCATGCATTTCTGACAATTTTACTTTTGTAAGTATTTCCAAAACAAATATGTTTTTAATGCCTCGGGGTTCTTGATAGGCTCCAGAAGCGGATATGCAATATGGTTGGCCCTGCCCTGTCGTCTCGTCTACAGTCACTTTCTCACAGACGCACCGTCGCCTCCCTCTGTCTGTTCTACAAATACTTTCATGGAAATTGCTCCGAGGAGCTGTATTCGCTGGTTCCCAGACTTCATGAGTTCAAGCGCCCTACGAGGCTGACATCCCGCTCTCACCCCTTCACTGTCGAAACTCCTAAATGTAGCCGTCTCTTCTACTCTAATAGCTTCATGTCTCGCACCTCTCGCCTGTGGAACTCTCTTCCCTTCTCCTGTTTCCCTGTGAGTTATCATCTCCAGCTATTCAAGTGTAATGTCAATCGACATCTCCAGTTGCCTTAATCTATCTACTACCCTCATCCTTTCTTCTATCACTCCTATCTGATCTTCCTATTTTCTGTAACCCCTTGCGTCCTAGTGTTTTCCCGCCTTGCTTGGGGTGAAATGCTTAAAAAAAAAGAAAAACGCCAGCAAAGACGCTAAAAAGCCCCGTACTAATCTTTGTCCCACCATCTAACGCAAAAAAAAAAAAAAAATATTTTATCCAAAATTTCGAACGTGTGAGAAAGGATTTAAAAATTTAATAATCAAAAAATACTTTGATCTTTACTTATAATAACATAAACATTTAGACGATAAAACTTTATTTTTATTTAAGTTTGGGGGCTTTTTTCTCCATCATGGTATGCACTTTTGAGGAATTGATAGAGGAATCGAAGACCCGAGTTCGAATTACAGTCATATCCATTACATTCACTTACATGCTAATACCCTTGGGAAAAGGTATAAATCCACTTCTTCTGCTCCCACCCAACAGCTATAGGTAAATAGCAGGACAGACCGGGTTCTATAGCATTGGATTGCAACTGGTCTACCGCAGAAAGAAATGGCAACCTACCGGGAGGAAAAAAATCTGCCTCGTCAGTCATGTATCGAAAGATACATGATCGCCTAAGCGTGTATCAAGCTTAGCACATAACTGACTGAAATTCACTTACATGCTAATACCCTTGGGAAAAGTAGAAATCTTCTTCTTCTCCCCCAGGTATGGATAAATAGCAGCCAGATTGGGTTCTGTAGACTTGGATGCGCAACTGGTCTACCGCAGAAAAAAAATGGCAATCTACTGCAGGGAAAAGAAATCTGCCTCGTCAGTCATGTATCGAAAGATACATGATCGCCTAAGCGTTTATCACGCATGACACATAACTGATTGAAATTCACTCGCGTGCTAATACCCTTGGCAAAGTTATGAATCCTCTTCTTCTCCCCCAGGTATGGGTAAATAGCAGGACAGATTGGGTTCTATAGCCTTGGATAGCAACTAGTCTACCGCAGAAATAAATGGCAACCTACCGCGGGGGAAAACATCTGCATCGTCAGTCATGTATCGAAAGATACATGATCGCCTAAGCGTGTATCACGCATGACTTATAACTGAATGACTGACCTGCTAATACCCTTGGGAAAGGTGTGAATCCTCATCTCCCTCCAGCTATGGGTGAATAGTAGAACAGACCGGCTTCTATAGCTTTGGATAGCAACTGGTCTACCGCAGAAATAAGTGGCAACCTACTGCGGAAAAAAATATGTCTCGTCAGTCATGTATCAAAAGATAGCTTACGGTCAAATCACGCTGAAAACACCGGTTCTCGTTCGATCACCGAAGTTAAGCATCGTAGAGCCAGGTCAGTACTTAGATTGGGGACCGCTTGGGAACACCTGGTACTGTAAGCCCCCAAAGTCCAACCCTTACCTCACAGTCGGTGGGGGGTGTAAACGGTAGTGTCAGAGCTATGCCGCCCGAACTTCGTTCCTGGTAGGGCCACCAAGGCGGACAGGTCTGACACACACGCCGGCTAACAAGGGCTCTGGTGAAAATCCAAGGAGCGTCTGCATCGGTAACCGGCGGCTTCTGGTCGTTCCTGTCTCTGCGTCTGTGGGAACCCCGCGGCAAGCAAGAACGTTATCCGAGTAGGCCTGGGTACCCTACTTCTGTAATTTATCCCAAGAATCTTCTTCTCATAACAGGAAGAAGCCGGCTCAATCCGCCCAGGGTGAATACCGCATCAGTACAGTACAGTACAGTATCAAAAGATACATGATCGCCTAAGCGTGTATCACGCATGGCACATAACTGACTAGTTCACTCTTTAAGAAAATATTATTTTTTAGGTATACATCTCGACTATGGTGAGATTCGAACCCGGTTTTCATAGTCGGGAAGCTAACCCTATCACCATTCTGCCAGTAGTAACGATGTAAATAGTATATGTATATGCTTGTACGCATTTGTCGAGCTTGTGGGGCCTAGAAACGCAAAAATAGTTATCCTTATGCACAAATCTCGTCGTCTACCGAATCAAGCCCCGAATATGAGAGCAGAAATACCGGACAATAAAATCATCCCCATGTATTACCCCGATAAAGCATAAAATGATCATAAAATGTCGGAAAATGCAGCAGACAAAGCCGACATCGTCAGCCCAAGAATCTTTTCTATGTATTTCGGCCGGGGTGGGAAACTCTTTATTAGGGTGACACGACCCAATCAGCCGGGTGACGGGCGCTAAGGTAGCTTTTCGAATCTACCGAGGCGCTTATTAGAGGTACGGGGACTCAGCTTCGTGGCATAAGTGATCTATGCCTTGCTGGCGGGCACTGACGAGGTATGATACTGGATGTAGGGTGGAGGGTGAATAAAAAATAATGGACGGCACCTGACAGCAGATAGGAAGCAAAAACAAGATATATTGAAACATCTGGTTCTTCCATTACGCTGTTGTCATTTCATCATATTTTATATACTCAATCCTGTCTAAGGGGATATCTACTCTTGTGACCAAGGGAAAGGCATGAAACCACTTCTCTCTGAGCTCTGCTCCAGTGCTGAAATAACGCTGGTTAGATTATTCATTTAATTTTTAGATTGTAATTTTTTTTTTTTGCGATAATAATGGTTTACTGATACAAGTATTACTAATTAACCCATAGCTGGGGGAGAAGAGGTGGAATCATATTTAATCAGAATTTGATAAACAAACAAGGAATTACAATCTGGATATAAAACTGGGGGATCAATTCTATATTACAATTAATATATAAACTGATCCCTCACATTGTGACCACGGTATTTTCTATTCATTTATATTCCAGAGAAGATAAATGAATCTAAAAGACATGTCCATGTAGCTAATCAGATTTTGATTGATTTGTTTTCTACGGCTTATCAACCCTTTGCAGGATATTTTAAGCCAGAAAATATTTTAGATTGTAAGCATTATATAAGAATATAATACGCCATGATAGTAACAAATTTTTTAGATAATAATGGTTTAGTGATACAAGTTTTACTAATTAACCCATAGTTAGGGGAGAGACGTACATTCATATTTTCTCAAGGGTATTTGCTCGTAAGTGAATATAACGAACCCAAATGGATTTATAACTTGGCTCTCCGATTAACAATTTCGAGCGATTATCCATTCTACCACCCACACATCCAAACTTACAGCAGCTGGTATTCCCTAGCGGTCACCCATCTAGGTACTGGCCAGACTCGACGTTGCTTAACTTCGGTGATCGTATGGGAACTGCTGTTTCAACTTGACGTAGCTTTTAGCCTATTATACCACTCACACATCCAAACTTACAGCAGCTGGTAATCCCAAGCGGTCACCCATCTAGGTCCTGGCCAGACTCGACGTTGCTTAACTTTGGTAACTGTATGGGAACTGGTGTTTCAATGTGATATGACCAGAAGCCTTGTCATTTCATCATAATATGTCATTTGACATGTCCAATCTTGTCTAAGAGCATATCTACTTGTGTACTCTCTGCATGAATGATCTAGGGAAAGGCATGAAACAATTTCTCCCTGAGCTGTTCTATTGCCGAAATAATGCTGCAAAAAATCACATCACAGGTTAGATTATTCATTTAATTTTATATTCGGGTGAATAGTGGTGGGGGGGAATAATATTTTCTTAAAATTAATTTACAAAATGGCAGTTGATGAATTTTCTTTTCTTTCCACACATATAAAAGCTTTAAATGTTGAGTTTTCAAGGATTGGTGATCATGGCTCTCCACAATTTCCTGACCTTTTTATCTCTTAATAAATTTCGTCTTTTGATATCTCTCTTAAACCTTGTTCCGCCAACTTTGTTCGGCTAGGTCGGTTATATGTTGATTTCCTCTGCCCTCCCTTGCCCTCAATGTCTTGTGGGTATCAAGTTTTCCAAGCCCTCTTTCCTTATTATATATCCCAGAAAATCCAACTGTGTCTCTTCCTGATGTTAAGTATAAGTGTCCCATTTGTTTCCATTTTCTCTAAAACTTTGTCGTTGTTTACATGTTCGGCCCAAGACATTCTCAGTATCCTTCTGTAGAGCCATATTTCTGTTGTTTCATATCTCGTCTTCATCTGTGAAAAGATTGTCCAGCGTTCACTGCCATAGAGGAGGACTGATATTATTCAAAAGTTCATTATTCTTTGTTTCTAATGAACTTTTTCTATTGCTTAATACTCTGCTTAGGTTTTGGAAGGCATCTTTGGCTATCCCAATGCGCTTTCGAATTTCAGTGTCGCACTTTCCGTCCTCTGTTAAAACACTTCCCAGATATTTAAATTGTTGTACTTGTTTGATTTTGACATCCCCCATGTGTAATTTGCATTTTGGGCTGTCTCTTTTTGCTAACAACAATTCAGTCTTCTTGCAATTGATATTTAGTCCTTTCTTATTGCTTTCCTTCACTACCGTCGGTTGACGATGTTCACCATAGTCTATGAATATAGAATACAGCGCAGTACGTAATCTGTTCAATGAAACAATGTTAAAGATTAACACTCACGAGTCAGACACTCTACTGAATCTGATTATATCGCCAATACCACCAGCAGCTGTTCCGTAATTCTTCAGTCTTCGATATCAAAGGCTGGCGGTGATATTTAGCCACCCCCTCACGAGGGTTACATGTGGCACAAGGCCGGGATTAACGTGGGATATCCGAGCCCGTAGGCTCGGCCAAAAATATTCCCTATTCGAACGCGTATAAACGGGTTCAGGGGCAATCAACCTCCCCGAACGAGACTCTGCCCTTCGGCGGAGCCTCGTCCGGGTTATCAAAGGCTAGCAGCGCATATTCGGGAAAAACATGGCCGCCTTTATACACGTCGCATTGAATATTTTGAGTCTTCTGATTGGTTAACCATTCTATTGGTGAACTATAAAATGAGTCAGCTCATTTTGGCTGGCTCACTAGTACACCAGGGTACCCAAAAATTCCAACACCCTCTGTGAGTTTTCCCGTAGTTTCCTTTCTGTATCGGTGATCAAAACTGTATCCTCTGCATATCTTATAAGGCGTGGGGGCCATCGAGAGTTCGATAACGACGTAACTGAAGGGCATCCTTGAAGAATCCTTTCAATAGTGCATGGAAGCGTCACAGGGAGTTTAATTTGAATGGGAAACCATGTTTGTAAGTGAATTAAATTGTTTTTGTCACCGGTCCTGTTAGATTTCAAACAGACCTTGTAGTTCTTTTGCGAGGTCTAGACATTCTATAAATTCAGATTTTGGAAGTTGGTTTCTAATGGACGAGAAGAGGGAGTCTCTGTGGCCGTGGTCGCTTGCTTCTGTGAGGTCTACATTGCAGGTATACAGTTTTTCTATTGGAGAGGTAAGCAATTTTCTGGATTTGTTTGAAGACATATATACAATCATTACACCCTACTGCCAGAACGAAGGGCGAAACGGGTCTTCAGGAGATGATTTTCATGGAACGGTGAAGACCTAGATGTGTAGAGTAGCTGAATCACCCCCCCACAAAATGGACTGGTCTAGGACTATTTAAACAGCACTCTCTCTTACTGAGCGAGAGCAGTTAGGTATTACCATTAACTCCGCTTGTTGACTCTCTGCCTTCGGGCGGAGAGGAACCAAGACTAGGTTATGCCGAAATGCAGAGTCTCGTCTGGGGAGGTAGACAAACCCGATCCCGTGCTACGGGCAAATTTTGCCGGAGCCTAGGGGTTCGAAACGCCCCACGTTAAAAACCGGCCTTGTGCCACATACTGCCTCGTGGGGAGGTCTCGGGTAAATACCGAGCAGTTAACGATTACCGTTAACTCTGCTTGTTGACTCTCTGCCTTCGGGCGGAGAGGAACCAAGACTAGGCTATGCCGAAGAGCAGAGTCTCGTCTGGGGAGGTAGACAAACCCGATCCCGTGCTACGGGCAACATTTGCCGGAGCCTAGGGGTTCGAGACGCCCCACGTTAAAAACCGGCCTTGTGCCACATCCTGCCTCGTGGGGAAGACCTCGGGTAAATACAGAGCAGTTAACGATTAGATTTCGTTAAAACTCTGCTACTCGACCTCTCTGCCTTCTTTCAGATAGTAACCGAGACGAGGCTATACCGAAAGGTCACTTCTCAACCACCGTAATCTAGCTTACTTGTGCATTTACTATAAATACTTTCATGGTAATTATTCCGATGAACTCCTTGCTATTGTACCTAGACTTTTCGAATTTAAGCGCAGTACTAGATTGGCGGCAAGGTCTCATCATTTTTACAATTGAAATGGATAGATGTAACCGTAAGTTCTATCCTGACGATTTCTTTTCTCGCACTTCTCGCTTATGGAACTCTCTACCGGCTCTATGCTTTTCAGCCAACTTTGATCTTCAAAAATTTCAAATGCAATGTTAAATGTTGTCTACTGTTTTCGTCACTATTTTTATATTGTTCTCTCTCCTTACTAATGTTTCTCTTTTTTCTTATTCTTTTACAATCAGTAACCCTTTGTGTCTTAGTGGCTTTATTGCCTTGCATGGGGAGAAATCATTAAAAAGAAGAAGGTATTTTTGGAATAGTCTCATGCGATTCATTTAATGATTCCAGACATCTTACCGTAATTCCTCGAAAATAATACGCACCCATAAATAATACACACCCCATCAAATGATCCAGAAATACAGCCCCGGTCAAAATCTTAAGACCAGATACAAAAAGGTTACAAATACAAAATACTGTTACTTTAATCAAAATATATTTGCAAAACATTTACATTTAATTAGAAAATGTAGTTTATCAACAAACAAGCGAAAATTTTAAGCTTTTAATTGATTAATTTACACAGACATTGAAAGTAGGATTTTTTTGGTTGGTCATAAAGATAAGACTATGTGTGAAAAAAAAACAAATTACTAGACAAAAATTTTAGATCTACTCAGTGTGCTCATAGCTTCGGGCATGTAGACCTCTACGTAGCTCATTTCCAGTATTAAATTTCAGATTTTAAAATGACTAAGGGTAAAATGTTAACAAAGTTCGAACAGGATTGTTGAACTTCAGTGACGTGGTCTTCGCAACGAGCCATTGTAAATGAAATTGGCCGTTGCAGAACCGTCATTGCTAACTTCATTCAAAATACGGATGTGTATGCTTCTAAAAAATCAAGCGGTCGCCCCAATAAAATCACACCATCTCTAGACAGATGCATTAGGCGAGAAGTTAAGAGAGATTCAAACCTAACATCAAATCAGATAAAAGCGAATACAGATGCTGAATGCAGCTCTCGAACAATTCGACAGTATTTAAACAAGAAATGATTTAAGAACTTGAAACGGCTGCAGGGGCCTCGCCTTCTTCTTCGCCATAAAACCTCCCGTTTACAATTTGCTTCCGATTATCAAACTTGGGATGTGGATAAATGGAAGAAAGTTGATTTCAGACGAGAAAAAATTCAATCTTGATGGCCCAGACGGTTTTCAGCGTTACTGGCATGCAAAAGATGTCCCAAAAGAAATTTTCTCAACACGACACAGTGGAGGTGGATCAATTACGGTCTGGGGTTCATTTTCGTACAATAGAACTCTTGAGTGACAGGAGGTAAAAGGTCATCAAACAGATGCTAGTTACATTGACATGTTAAGAAATGCATCGCTAATTACCGAAGGCCCTCATCTATGTGGAGAAAACTGGCTCCAAATCGAAACCCAATCGAGACTATTTGGGGATGGATGGCAAAGGATGTTTATAAACATGGATTGCAATTTGAAACTGTGGATTCTCTTCGTGCTGCAATTTATGCATCCTGGGCAAGCATCCCAAGCACCCTCATGCAGAAGTTAATAATGACTATGCCAAAGCGAATTTTCGAAGTAATTCGCAAAAATGGAGGATATACTTAGAATTAAATTGTCGTTGTGACTTATTTGTTTTTGTAGTTGCTATTTTTATTTACCTGGTCTTATATTTATGACCAACCAAAAAAAATCCTTTTTTTTCAATGTTTGCTTAAATTAATCAATAAAAAGCTTAAAATATTCACTTGTTTGTTGATAAGCTACATTTTCTAATTAAATGTTTCGCAAATATATTTCGATTAAAGTAATACTATTTTATATATTTTTAACCCTTTTGTATCTGGTCTTAAGATTTTGACCAGGAGTGTATATCTATCCCTATCTACAATACGCATCTATAAATTTTGTCAAATAAAAAAACCCCAAAAAAACAAAAATTATGAAGACATTTTGTTGACCTTGACATTAAGAATAAAATCGAAACTAAGCGGCTAAAATAATGTCGAAAATTACCATCGCGGTTTTTCTGATAAATGTCAGTGAGGGTGTTATAAAGGGAGAGGTTTGATAAAGTGTTGTCTCACAACAGCCATGGATGGCTCTGAAGATGACATCCTTTGGCAAGAGAATGAAGAGGCTGAAGATAATTTTGAACAGAACAAAGATA